AAAATGTATTAATCATTATAAATTGTTTATAAAATTAAAATTTGTTTTTCCTTATAAAATATGTATTTATTACTTAATTTGCTCGTTAATTTTATGAATTATTCAATTTTTAAAAAATATTAATAACCTGAAACTTTTAAGAGCTTTGGGGCACAGGTTAAACGTATCCAATTATGCTCAAATTTTGTATCCTTCAGTACATATTGGAACCTGATTAAGGGGATCGGTCACAAAAATTTAAATATTTAAAAATAAGGACTCCCTAATATATATACAATATGGCATGTAATTTATAATGATAAAATAGTAATTAATAAAAGTTTATTATTTTAGGCATATTAAAATTGGTGAAGAATTTTGCAATAGTAAATCAGAACAATTACAAAATGATACTAAAAAGTCTTGTATCAGTTATTTTCATGCTTATCATAAAAATTGTCTGGACGAGCTTACAATATTTTTTGAAAACGAAAGTTGGACTCCTTGTCCAGTGAAACGTGAATTTAATTTATTTCAACTGCAGGTAAGAAAATAAARAAATAATTGAGTATTTTACTATTCAATAGAATTTATATATACATATACTTTTATCATAAGGAATTTAGAACAATTAGGAATCGTATTCAAAAAATTGATTCTTCTCATCTAACTCACAGCAGAAATTCATCTATGGACAGTAGCTCTATTAGTACGTGTGAATATTTTCATTTCACATCGGATAAATCACCGTTTGATAATGATTTAAATACTACATACTGTGAAGATATATTAGATACAGAGGTAATAACATACATATATTTTATACATTTTTAGTAATATATTAATATTGTTTATTAACATTTTTCTAGATGGATGGAAATAGTGTTTGTAGTGATGATACTAATAACAGTTATGAAGACACAGATAATTATAATATAACAGCAGATAACTATGAAAGGCCACCTTTGCTTACAAACACAACATTGACAGTAATGAGACATTGTGGGAAGTACTTAAAAATATGCAATATACTAAAATCAATATCAGAAGATGTAGTCACTTGTTTATGTCAACTGTTTGAGTATTATCTATACTCGGTCCATTTACTATTTACATCAGACATGCTGGTAAGTACAAAGTAATGCTGCTTAGATTTTAATTATGAAATAACCTTGTATTTTGCTTTTTTAGCCTCAGATATGTTATGGTGTAAATAGTATAAAGCTTCAATCAGTAATAACAAGAATATGCAACACTTTGATTCAATGTAATCATGAAAATGAAATAAATCAAAATCCATTTGTAAGCATTTATACTATATAATAAAGCAAGGTTGGACAAGTTTACTAATATTTTTAACTTTATAATTTAAGTTGATATGAAAAAAAGTATGTTAAGTTACTTTTATTGGATTTTAATTTATCAAAGTTAAATAGAAAATATYAATGTAACTTAACTAAGTTAAATGAATATTTGATRAATGAATGTTTAATTTTTTACTGATAATTTACAATTCACTCTATAGCACATTATGTAAAACTGATAAAATAGACTGAATCCTAATAACAGAAATTATTAAACACTTATAGGTTAATTTTTTGAGGAAGTCTTTAAACTTCAAAATGAGTTATCTCATTATCTGTTAGTGTTATTATTGAGGTATATTTAAAATATGTGTTCTGGTAAGACTAATTTACATACAGAAAAAAATACATCTTTATAAATAAATATATTTATCACTCCGCTCAGAATCTAAAATGTCAAAAGAGAAATAAGCTGAGCTCATTCTGTAATCACAATTTACAATGGTGCTGTTAATAGCGCATACAAAAAAATAGTCAAACTTATTATTGTTGTGTACAATTTCTTATTTATAAATGTTTGTCATTAAATTGTTAGAAATTGAAAATGTTTATTTCACAGAAAATTGTTAAATATATGCATAAAAAAAATTTAATTTCAGATTCGAGAACCTGTAGCACTTCAAATATTAAGTCTGTCAGATGCAAACAATTTATATAACGTTTCTGAACGAATTGTTGCTGTAGAATCATTAGTGTTTTTAGGAGAGCAGTACAAACTATTGCATTCTTATTTGAATACATTATTAACATCGGATACAAGCAGTTATTCATTACAACAATTTTATAATCAAGTACAAATAATTATTTATTATAAAGTGTTAATGATGAAGCACAATAACAATTAAYCAATATTTTGGATTTATCGATTCATTACAAAGACATAAAATATTTGTTTAAGACTGTAGCAGTAGCAGTTGATTTACGAAAACCAGTATATGGTCGTGTGATTTGTAAATCTATTGATTATAATCAAGTGCTAAGTATGATGATCAAAGTGAATTGGGAGGTAAAAGATATTATGTGTGAACACAGCAGATATGTTGATTATTTCTTACAAGTATGTTATATAATAGAATATGAGAATGTAATTATATTTTTTTTCAATGACTAATAATGTTTATAGGAGATACGAGCTTTTTTTAAAACTCTTAAAACATCAACATCCAATATATATTTAAATGAGCAAGTATTAAATTCTATCTGGGAAGCTATAGCTGTCCTAGTATCTTCTGTTTTTATTGAAGGGTAAAATGTATTAAATAATAATTTTAATCTATTCAAATTATTCAATATTATTTTTATTTTAGATTTTCATTAGCCAAAAAATGTTCAAATGCTGGTCGAGCATTAATGCAACTTGATTTCACACAATTTTTATCACAAATAAACTCAATTTGTCCTCTTAATCCATTACCACATAAAGAACTAATCGAAGTGTATATAAAGGCTTATTACTTACCTGAAACATCATTAGAAACATGGATAAGGGATCATCAGGTTATTTCAATTTATTAATGTGCTTAATAAATAAATAAAAAAAACTATAATAATTAATTGTATACATTTAAATTTCAGGAATATACTCATAAACAATTATTAGCTGTCATAAACTGTGTGTGTCAAAACAATAAACGGTCACGACAAAAGCTGACTAATTTATTGGAAGAGTCTCTACAAAGATAATCTCATTTTTATTACTAAATGTATTAGTTATTTATTTTTAATTATTTTTATTAATTCAGTTAATATTATGCAATTATAAATAACTGATAAGATTGTTTTTTACTTCAACAATTCAACCTAAGTGGGTTAATTTTTTTATGAAATCTCCGTTCAATAATTATTTAATACTCAATTACACTTATTTTATAGCACACACTATTTTTTTCAACTTTTTCAACAACTCTGAAAACTAAAAAAGTCGACAACGTTTTCAATGTGAATAATCATTTTTGATAGGACACATGCTGATAAATTTGTTCACATTTTTGCTAAGCTTACTGAGAGAAATAACTTGGTGTCAATGCTGGGTCCACTTTTTAAAAAACTTTTTTACTCTTCGTGTTGATTCATTCAAATCGACAAGTGACAAAAGGTTCATATTTGTTCAGTGTTTTTGTTATATGATGTAGTAATATATGTATCAGTCATAAGGGTTTATGACATATCATATATCCTTACTAATATAGATTTAAAACTAAATACCTACGGAGAATAAAGGTTATTATTTCCGATTTAAATCCTTTACTGTTCATATCTAGGAAAGTAAGAATTACCTAAGTATAAGTTAACAATAATTATTATGAAATAACATTTTAAGACATTAATTGTTTACTTTTAAAAACTCGTTCTAAGAAAAAAAATTATAAATATTTTA